CTGATGGGTTGTGCTCACCGACAGCCCCTCCTCCAGTGGTTGTTCGCTCCAGTATTTTTCTTTTATTGTAAAAATAAATCTCAAAAAGTTTCGTTCCATTCCAAGAACTTCTATTTCTGCACAAAAAACAACACCATGATAGTTTTGCTGAAAACAGCGGCAGTCCGGGTTAGTTTCATTCAAATCATGCAAATTAGAGTCCAAAACAAGAGCAAAAGTGTTAGGAAAAGTAGATACGACGGAGATGTATCAGTGGTGGGCCCCATGGTCTCCCCTCTGGTGCTTCCTTGGCTCCCAAGTTGTCTTATGGTCCAAAAAAAATCAAAAAGTTTTGCTGCGTTTGGACTCCGTTTGGTAATGGGTATTTTGCGAAGTAAAACAAGCAAAAAACAACAACTGGCACTTGGCACTATGTTAATAGTTAGTCCAAAAAAATGATATAGAATTGCTATAAAATGAATATAAAACATCTAACAATGATAATATAACAACATGGAACAATAAAAAAATTATAGATACGTTGGACTTGTATCACCAGCCGCGGCAAACGGATCTGGGCAGGGAGAAGCCCAGATCCGCCGCCACCGGTGACCACGGCCGGCCGCCACGCTGCCCTCGCAGCCGTGGTGGCGTAGCCCCGCCAAGATCACCTGGGGCCGCCGCCCCAACATCCAGATTCCGCGCACCAGATCCGTCGTCGCCTCGCGCAGCAGCAGCCCCTGGACGCCGCTGACGGAGCCCAGCCTCTGCAGCAGCCACAACGCGCCATCGCATCACCTAGCCCGACTGGTTCAAGCCGTCCCGCCGTAGCCGCCACGGATCCACCGAGATGCCATCCCGCTAGACCTGTCACGCCAGATCTGCGTGCTCGCCTCTCAAGGAGATGCCTGCCGCCACCCCCTGGAGCCTGTCCGGGCTTCGCCGGGGGGTCTTTAGGTGGCGGCGAGGTGAGGGGGAGGACGAGGGTGTGAACTGTGAAGGTGTCGGTGCCGGTGGAGTTACCCCGTGTTGCCTCAGAGGGGCGAAGCGGGTGTGGGAAGGTGCATTGGATTGAAAAGCACATCACACCGTCTTCCAACATGATTGTGACTACTGGTTGGGGCGCACCCCCTACCTGGTGCGCCACTTGAGAGGAAGTTGGGGGGTTGCTAGGTGGGATGCACTCCTTTCACTTTTCTATTTGTACTATGTATCGTTATTGCCTGTACTATGTAATGTTACTGCCTGAGTAGTCCCAGGGTAGGACACGTTCAACTAGCAGTTGTTTTTTTTCCTGCTTCCCGACATGTGTAGGATAACTTACAAACTGAACTCATTAGTACACTACATTTGTGTGAGCAGGTTATGAACAACACATTAAGTGTAAGATCTGATTAAAGAACTACATGCAATCCAGATCACACTTCATTCAGAAAGTCATATGGAGATGCTGTTGGGGATGCCCTTGGCGGTGATCCCGGCGGCCATGCCCTTGTCGTCCGACGTGTTGGGGTACAACAGTGTGTAGGGGAAGTTGGCCAGGCCGATCCGGTTCTTGAGCAAGGGGTCGCAGTTCCTGCCCACCACCTCGCTCTCAATCCGCACCAGCTTCTCGCCGAACCGGCCGAACGCCCGCACCACCTCCGCGTCGGACGTCCACGCCGGCGTGTCCCGCTGCCCGAGGTATATCTCGTCGGACGAGTGCTTGGACAGGATCTCCAGCAGCGAGATGCCCAGCAGAGTCTACAGTTGGCTGGTGATGGTGCGGATGAAGAAGCGCTCCGGCTTGCGCTCCAGCTACGCGTACTCCTCCGACCCCGGCTCCGGCATGGCCTGACGGCTCACCGTCGGCCGGTTCGGGACGTAGCCCGCGTACGAGTACTGCCCGAAGTTGACGGCGGCGTGGAGCGCCGACGCGATCCACACGATGGTGGTGCAGGCCTTGGTGAGCTCTGCCACGGTCTGCATCGCCGGCCACCAAGCGGCGTCCTTGAGGTCGCCGTGCCCGACCTCGCGCACCTCCTTCCACCACGCCTGCAGCTCCTCGTCGCCCTAGACGGCCTCGTCGTCCTTGTAGTAGATGGCGCAGTAGTCTGTGACCCACTCCTCGATGGCCTGCCAGATGGCCAGGCCGTCCGTGGCGTAGGGTAACCGGATCCGGCTATGCGCCATACTTCAGTGCCGCCCACTTTAAATATAGATCCACCGCCCTGGTGGCGGGGAACGAGGCAAAAGAAGTTTCTCCATAGTTCGAAGTGAGCCTTGCAGTCTAAATATAATTCGCAAAGGGCGACAAAACCAGAAATGTGCAGAATGGAACCTGGTGTGAGGTTGTGCAGCTGGATCCCATAATATCACGGTAGATCCCTGAGGAAAGGGTGGATCGGGAATCCTACGCCCCTCAGAAGGAACGAGATGAAGCATACCCTTTCCCCTTGGCCGGGGTTGGGGAAATTCTCCACCAATGCACCATCACCCATAGAAGTTAATCCCGCCCGTACGGAGACTAGATCCGCGGGAGGAAGATATCCTTGCGTCTGGAGACGATTGAGCTGAAGGTGGGATACAGAGTAACTTTGCCATTCCCCTTCTTGAGGGCCATGAGGACGCCAGGAGGAACCAGGGGCACTAGCCATGGTTTGAGTTTTTTTTGTGGTTTGCTCTGTGGTTCTTGGGGTGATGTAGGATGGCGTTTGGGGATCTAGCATAGTTATTTAAGCGTCGTCCATGCCTATTAAAAGGGTTAAAATATAAAGGTAACGGACCATTCGCATTCGCTCAGACGCGTGGAAATCGAGGCGACGACTGGAAGGTGTCATAAGGACTGGACACAGAAATCGATGTCGGGCTATCATCCATCCGGATTATGTTGAAGAACCCGCCTTGCAAAGCCGAAGACTCAAGTCCGCATACTCTATCGGAAGTCCTGGATTTAGGAGTCCCCAAGTGTCTGGCCCAGGAGTACAGGTCGGGCTAAGTAGGCTGTGAAGATCGAGCAAGAGATCATCCACATATAATATTAGAAATGCTAGAGAGCTCCCACTCACTTTCTTGTAAATACAAGTTTCTCCAAAAGTCTGTATAAAACCATATGCTTTGATCACATTATCAAAGCGTATATTCCAACTCCGAGAGGTTTGCAGCAGTCCATAAATGGATCACTGGAGCTTACACACTTTGTTAGCACCTTTTGGATCGACAAAACCTTTTGGTGCGGACAGTACTCTGGATGACCTACGGGGTTCGGTAGTAACTTGATCTGAAGTTTCATGATCATCATCATTAGCTTCCTCACTAATTGGTGTAGGAATCACTAGAACTGATTTCTATGATGAACTACTTTCCAATTTGAGAGAAGGTACAATTACCTCATCAAGTTCTACTTTCCTCCCACTCACTTCTTTCGAGAGAAACTCCTTCTTTAGAAAGGATCCATTCTTAGCAACGAATATCTTGCCTTCGGATCTGTGATAGAAGTTGTACCCAACAGCTTCCTTTAGGTATCCTATGAAGACGCACTTCTCCGATTTGGGTTCGAGCTTATCAGGTTGAAGCTTTTTCACATAAGCATCGCAGCCCCAAACTTTAAGAAACGACAACTTGGGTTTCTTGCCAAACCATAATTCATATG